TATCTCTCTCTCTCTCTCTCTCTCTCTCTCTCTCTCTCTCTCTCTCTCCTCTCTCTCTCTCTCTCTCTCTCTCTCTCTCTCTCTCTCTCTCTTTCTCTCTCTCTCCCTCTCTCTCTCTCTCTCTCTCTCTCTCTCTCTCTCTCTCTCTCTCTATATATATATATATATATATATATATATATATATATATATATATATATACACATATACAAATTTATATATTTTTTTACATATTTCCCCAATTTATTGACAGTGATACTTCCTGTTATATGTTAGTTCTGCCAAACTTCGTTTCTTAGATATCGTGTGTACTCTAACTGAAGCTTTACTGCCACATTACTGTTATTATTATACCTATTGTTCCTAATCATATCTTGCTTTGATAATTGCAAGAAGAAAAGTAAAACAGACATACAAATATATATGGTGGTAAGAAATATATATCTGAATAAAAATAAGGACTTAGAAGCCTGTAAATCTAAAAAAAAAACGAGTCAATGTTAGGTCCTATAATATAAATCCATAGGAAGGTACACTAATCTACGGACTTTTAACGCCTTGTTTCACTGTCGATCTGCGATGGGGACAGGGATGAGGGAAGAGGAGAAAGGGGAGAGGGGAGAGGGAATAGGGGAGAGGGAGGAGGAAAGAGGGGAGAGAGAGGGAGGGAGAAAGAGGGGAGAGAGAGGGAGGAAGAGGGAAGAGGGGAGAGGGGGGAGGAAAGAGGGGGGAGAGAGGGGAGGAAAGGGAAGAGGGGAGAAGGAGGAGGGAGGAGGGATGAGGAAGGAGAAAGGAGGGAGGAGGAAGAGAAGGAGGGGAGGGGAGAGAGGAGAGGGAAGAGGGAAGAAGGGAGAGGGAGGAGGGAAGAGGAAAGAGAGGAGAGGGAGGAGGGAAGAGGAGAGAGGAGGAGAGGGGAGCGAGGAGGGAAGAGGGAAGAGGGAGGAGGGAGGAGGGGAGAGGGAATAGGCCAGAAGAGAAGAGGGAAGAGAGCGGAAGGAAGAGGGGAGAGAGGAGAGGGAGGAAGGAAGAAGGGAAAGGGAAGAGGGGGGGAGGGAAGAGGGAAGAAGGGAGAAGGAGGAGGGGAGAGGGAAGAGGGAGGATTGAAGAGGAAAGAGGGAAGAGAGAGGAGGAAAGAAGGAGAAGAGAAGAGTTAGAAGGAAGGAAGGAAGAATGAAGAAGGGAGAGAGAAGGGGGAAGAGAGACGAGTTAAGAGGGGAAAGGGAAGAGGGAGGATTGAAGAGGAGAAAGGGAAGAGAGAGGAGGAAAGAAAGATGAAGGAAGAGTTAGAAGGGAGGAAGGAAGAGTCAAGAAGGGAGAGAGAAGGGTGAAGAGAGACGAGTTAAGAGGGGAAAGGGAAGAGGGAGGATTGAAGAGGAAAGAGGGAAGAGAGAGGAGGAAAGAAAGAGGAAGAAAGAGTTAGAAGGGAGGAAGGAAGAGTGAAGAAGGGTAGAGAGAAAGAGGAAAGAAAGACGAGTTAAGAGGGGAGAGGGAAGAGGGAGGAGGGGAATCCTGCCTTAGAAGGAAGAGCCGAGACAGAGGAGGTAGGATAGGCGTGAAGGGCCAAGGAGCACGTCGCCCACAAGGAGGGCCTCGGGCGCGCGGTGGGGGGGTAGGGGGAGGGGGGAAGATGGAGAGGAAAGGGGTGGGTGGAGGGGGAGAGGGAAGGGAGGGGGAAGAGGAAAGGGGTGGGTGGAGGGGTAGAGGGAGGGGAGGAGGAGGAGGAAAGGGGTGGGAGGAGGGAGAGAGGGAGGGGAGGTGGAGGTGGATAGGGGGTGTGCTGAGGGGGTGGAGGAAGGGGGGAAGGGGGGATGGAGATTGAGGTTGCAGTGGAGGAGGAGGAGGAAGAAGAAGAGGAGAAGGAGGGGAAGGGGAAAAAGGAGGAGGAGAAAGAAGAAGAGGAGAAAGAGGGGAAGAGGAAAAAGGAGGAGGAGGAGGAGGAGGAGGAGGAGGAAGAGAATTAGGAAGAGGAAAATGAAGGAGAAGGAAATGTATAAGTGAGGGGGGAGGAGGAATAGGAGGAGGAGAGGATGAAGAGAATTAAGAAGATAAAAAAAGGAGAAGGAATTGCTTAAGTGGGGGAGAGGAGGAGAAGGAGGAGGAGGAAGAAGAAGAGGCCAATAGAAGTGAAGGAAATCCAAAACGAGGAGAAAGAAGAGAACCAGATACAAAAGGGCAGGGGAAGGGAAAAAGAAAAATAGAGAAGAATTAGAAGATCAAGAAGAAGAACAGAGAAAGAGGAGAAGGTAAAGAAGAAGAAAAAAACAGAAGGAAAAGAAGAAAAAAACAGGAGAAGAAGATGAAAAAACAGAAGCAGAAGAAGAAGAAAACAGAAGGAAAAGAAGAAAAAAACAGAAGCAGAAGAAGAAGAAAACAAGGAAAAGAAGAAAAAAACAGAAGCAGAAGAAGAAGAAAACAAGGAAAAGAAGAAAAAAAAACAGAAGCAGAAGAAGAAGAAAACAAGGAAAAGAAGAAAAAAACAGAAGGAGAAGAAGAAAAAAAC